AAAGAGAACTCATCCTAGGGTTGAAGTCAGATGGGTGCTCACTGAGAGTCATGTCCTGAGAGCATTTCTGACAGATTTGCTCTCTTTATAGCTGGAACACTAACTCAATGTTTAAAAAAAAGTTAATCATTATAGTCAAAGGCTATATATTAGCTACTCTTCGTCCAGCTTTGCATCACATGATGCTGCAAAGACCCAACCGTCCTGTTGCCCATCTCTCCTCCTTTCTAGAGTTTGATGGGAGGGTCATACAACACTGGACCTTTCATTAAGGACAAGGATGTGTACATACAAATGAAAATACTGACTTTGTATTGACATGACTTATGTATCTATCTGCTACATTAAAAATGATCGGTTTACTGATTCTAAATGCACTTTATAGAGTGCATTTAAAATGCACAACGTCATATTAAAGCATAGCAGATGAACGGACTTTAAAAAAGCAAACATGTTGACTTTAGTCGGGTGGATTTAAAAAGAAACATACAGTCTCCTCTGATGCAGATGGCCCATAACTTTTGTCACCCACACTGGCACTTCGCTAGTTACATCTCCCTTTGCTTCAAGTCTTCTGAGCCCAACGTCTCTGTGAGACTCATTTGTGTCATCTACAGAGCCCTCAGGACACACCTTGAACACACACGCACACAGCTTAGCATGTTCAGACCTGCATGATACATGGAAAAGATAAGTATGATAAAGTACAGTAGAAACAGTGAGTTGAAAAGCTATCGCTTGTGTTTGTTAGCATATGCATTCAAACCTATTTAGACTAGATGTAACTTATATATGAAGTGGAGCAAGCTTTAAATAACTTTCCTTTACAAAAGGTTTAATTTAAATTATGTCATCTCAAAACATATAAACAGTCAAAAAGGAAAGCCAATAAACTTCTCCAAATAAAGAATAACTAACCGTAAAAGTGTACAAGCTCTCTAATGTGTGTTTTTTGTGTTGCTAATTGTCTCTTTGACTAAATTTAACAGTTCTAAAGTTTGAAAGGTTATAAAGTGTTCCCCGAGTCTTAATAGTGATTTCATTATGGTCCCAGCACATCACTGGTTATGTGTACTGACCACAGTAGGGATTCATCTGTTTTCCCAGTCCCTCTCTACAGTTTTCTATACGATAAAAAAAGCGTTCTATTTTCTTTAAATGCAGAACAAAGGCACTAGGAAACACGGGTTGGCTCCGAATATGAAAACACATGACCAGCAGCAAGTATGAACTCAATGCCCTATTACAAACGTCCTCGCACCACATCTGTGTCCTGACATGGCCCCAACCATCCAACCACATTTTGTCTTTTAGCACCCTGGGGAATATAAGGATCGCATATGCCTTTGGCAGGAGTCCACGCCCACATTCCTCAGCTATGTGCTCACAGGCATTCTCTCTCCCTGCTCCCACCTCCCTCCCACTTTCCTCTGACACCAAATCTTGGCACGCATCGCTCTGCACTCTAATGACATGCAAACACTATTTCATTTCCTTAACAAAAGAGCGGGGAAAGCATATAGATTGCCGCCTTTTGAAAAAAGTCTGTATTTCTCAGCATGCTAAAGGAGTAATGGACTTATGCAGGTGGATGGTATCTAGCTGCTGAAGGCCCGTGATGTTAATTGGTCTCATTGGAAAAGAAAGAGTCATTGAAAAGAAAGAAAGTGAATGGCTGAGTACATTTTTTTTTCTTCTTTGTTTGGGATCTGTTTTTAAAAGTTGCCCCCAGCGGCTTGCCTTGTTAAAGGTTATCTCTCAGTCACAAGTCAAAGTCAAAGACAGGGGCCGGGGAGGCTGTGCAGTTTGCTGTGTGGGGTGACTGGGTTCAGTGGTAGGGGGTGCATGGTGCGGAATGTGGCTGTAAGAAAAAGCCAGGAGGAATCATTATAGGGAAGAAATGAGACGCCAGCACTGGGACTACAGCACGATTAGAGAATTTTCTGTCTTTTATGCAACAAGCCTTTGCATATGGCTTAAATCTTCCCCTCCATTCAGGAATCGTTTGTGCATGTGTGGCAATGTGAACACTTAATGCACCAAAGAGCACACATGTGCTTATTTTCCTCAAATGTTTCTTTTAACTTGATGAGATGAGATGAGATGAGATGAGATGAATACTGTCTTTTTGGGCTTTTATATGAGTAACACCTTCAACTTTATGAAATTTGAGATCCTAAGACGATTTGTTATGAACCACGTGATACATTCATAGCATTTATGTTAATGGGAAACAACAAAAATGCTTTCCTCTTTGTTATTTCTATTGTGAATGAATGCATAGTGTTATATTGTGCACTTGTTTTAAACTTATCTTATTTTATTCAAGGATTGTGACAGTCTGCCTGACAGCAGAAATGAGACCGGTTGAAATGGAATAACAAACCTAACACATTGTTTACACAGAAGTACATTTATTTAGGTTTGAAAACATTAATATCGAACAAATTACATTTTCTTATTCATTGCAAATCACTGCAGCAATTCCAATTTATCCCTGTGTACAGTAAATGTAACAGATTTTTATTCTAAAACAAGTAATGGGAACTCTTGCTCTTGATATGAGGAGCCCTTTGTTATAAAATGTAAGTAAAAGTGCAATATCTAAATTGGTCCAAAATCTGCATCAATAGCAGGACTTTTCTGATGAATAAATATTGTTTTATTTTAAAAATGCAATATATCTTTACACTTTTCAGAAATTTGTTTTTCGATGCCATTTTCTAAAAACCTTAGCTGAACACAAGAGAAAACAACAATGTCAGTTAACAAAAGCTTAGCGTGTCAATCACTGCATCATCTATTTTCTAAATAAACTTCATTTTTTTCCCCATATAACTATCTGAAACATAGAGTTTTGACAACAACAAGACCATGACATCTCACAGCGCTATATTACAATAAAATCTCTGTTAAAAGTTTGAGGAAATAGAAATGATAACAATAGCAACATAGAATTAAGGAATACAATGCATAGATTCAATCATTTGAAAGTGTAGATATAATTTACTTAGTACAACTCTTTAATGTTTAGAGTAAAACTACATGGATTCATTACAGTTCATTCTGACTTGAGTGACCGGCACAACTATATATTTCTGAACACGTCACACATTAAAAATGCTGAATATATGATTTTGATTTCAAAAGGCAAATTTGGCTATAGTACACTATGGCATGTTTGGGTACAGAAAGGCAACATCTGGCCACAGAGCCAAACAGCAGCAGCTTCTTTAATGGCTCCTCTGCCTTTTGAAATGGTAAAAAATGTAATGTCAATTACATTTTTTTCTTTAATTGACTCACTCACTGACATTCTTCAAATCTTCATCAGCGAAAGCACGTCATCTGGGCTTGTGAATGCAAGTTATTCTTTCAACCGATTGATTTAAATGGTCTCTGGACAAATAATACAATAGGGATGACTATTTAAAAAGTGGATTTAATTTATTTTTATCATCTTGTTTTTTACTCCAAATGAAAAAAAAACAAACTTTCTGGCTTATTATTAGAGAACAAAGTGGGAAAATGTATCGCTTTACTCAAATAGATAAAGTAGGATTTGGTACTCAACACTTGTTGGTGTTTTTGAAATACCAATAGACCTTTTATAATGATGAGTGGTGCTATCAGGATGCACATTACTATGATAACAAATGTTTGAGGAGACAGTGACAGGCAGAGGTAGGAGGGGCACAGAAAGCAGGAAGGCTGCTCTCTAAACAGCATCAGAGGGCTGCTTTGGATAGAAATGGATCACCTTTAGAGCACTAAACTAAATCAGTCACATTAACCTTTGATACAAAGAAGAAAATACAAAAAGCTATGAAACTGAAGAAGGGCATGAGCTGCTTACTTGAGTGAAAACAAACATAGGACCAAGAATCTCTTTTACACAAGCCATTTTAACCCTGTAACATGTAAGTGGCAAACTGCGATTTTCTTCTTCTGGACTTTCTTCTTCTACAGAAATTTGAAAGCAAAGAATTCTCTTCCTCAGGACTGCTGTTTTTGAGTAGGTTCTGGACCATTTACATTTACAATATTAAACCCTTCAAGCCTGCAGTCAAAATCTACTTTGTTAGGCACAATAAATAGGCCCCTGTGGTATTAAGGTACAGAGTGACGAATAACACAGAACAATTCTGATGTCTGCGTGCAGGTTATGCACCAGCATAAATCTATGTCAACCACCAATAACTTAGGTCTCAATATATATACTAGATCTAGTAAACATCTACGACATCATTTCATATACATTCTTAATGTATTTACAAAAAAATCAGAGAGCATGATGTCATTTTACAGTCTGACTGACCTGTCCACCACACGCATTTAAAAGAATCGGATCCAGTTTTATGAGTGAGCTCTTCTCTGCTGGCTTGATTTTTGCTTCCATTCTGTAAACACTATTTACAAAGTTAGAAAAAAAACACACACAACAACAACAGACTTGATTTTACAAACTCTATGATTACATTATGTACATTCAGGTAAAATGTCAATATGTAACATCATGCAAGGATCCTTTGAGATAAATTTATGAGCCAGATTACCTTCACGAGTCTTCCAGATCGGTAATCAATGATCATATTTACGTACAAAAAAGCTTGATTGATGACACAGTAAATAGATTCTGCAGACAGTGCTGCTGCTGCTGATGAGTCGTGTCACTTGCAAAAAATCCATGGACTCCACTACTGTACAGTATCTGTAACCTCTGTGTGTAAACCAGAAATGTGTTTCCGTTTGGCTCTTTTGTTAAGGCAAAATTGTTTGGCACTTATACAGACATTGATGATTGAAAAATATCCTGATTTAATCTTCAAGGGCTCTAATGGTGATTTGTCCAGTACATCTGGACTGGAAATGCTGCCGGAACGCACCTGCAAACGTCGTCGGGATGAGGACTTTTAGCCTCGATTTCTTCCAGTTTTGTGTCTTCTACCAAACCAGCAACGCAGAGTCATTTAAACGGGCTCCTCCTGTACGGCCGTTTTCTATCCAGACACCCAGTTGTGCGTGGTGGTCTTCACCCCGTGAGGGAACCCCTGTTGGGTCACCACGGGCTCGAAGTTGAAGTCCAGTGAGTCCCCGTCCATGAGCGTGTCGTGGAGGACCGTCTCCATGTCGAACTCGAACTTCTCGATGGACATGTCGTCCAGGTCGCTGGGCAGTTTCTCTGCGTGCGAGGGCGCCGACATGCCCGGCCGGCTGTATCCGTTGAGTGGACAGAAGCCTCCGGGCACGCCCCCCCCACTGAGGTGGCCGGACAGACCGTAAGGCATCTGCATGGGGCTCTTGACCGAAGGCAGACGCGAGGAGCCCCCGCTGTAGCTCAGAGACATGAGCAGGCGCCCGTTCATGGCCGCCGACGTGGGCGGGGCCTGGCCGTGCACGCCGTGCGGGTGGGGGTGAGAGAGTCCGTGCAGGTGACCGTTCCCCCCCGCCAAGAGCTTGTTGGCGTGCTGACCGCTGCTGTAGGCCGGCAGCATGCAGCCGCCGGCGGGCTGGGACCCCACCGCGTCCACCGAGGGCATCAGCTCCCCGTGCTGGTCAGTGTCGGAGGTCAGCAGCTCCTTCAGGAGCCCGGCGGGGCAGCTGTACTGACCCATGCCGGGCCCGAAGCCGGGCTTGCTCTCGGTCAGCGTCTGCAGGGGCATGGCCTGGCCGTACACGCACTTGTGGTAGTCCTGCTGGGACTGCGAGGCCATGCCCGGGGAGCTGTAGGCCGGGTACCCGGGGCTGGGCTGCATCATGGAGGAGGGCGAGGACTGGGAGGAGCCCGGGGTCGCCGCCCCGCCCCCCACCTGAGGATTGTTGGGCGAGAGCAAGTTCAGGTTGTCCAGCAGGTTCTCCATGACGTTTTCAGGGCCGTGTCCCAGGGAGCCCGTCATCTCCGTGAGGCTGGGCAGCGTGGCGGTCATCTTGGTCCCCGGGGCTCCCGGGTAGCCCATGTGCACGTCGGCTTCCCCCAGGTCGTCCTCGGGCATGAAGGGGGAGAGGCGGCCGCTCACGGTGCTGGCGTTGGAGCTGGTGCGGGGCCGGAAGCTGTTCCAGGCGTCGTAGTCGTCGTTGCTGTGGGAGTTGGGGCTGCCCGGCCACTTGGAGTAGGACCCCGGGCTGTCGGCCCCCCCGTCAGGGCCTCCCTGCAGAGACAGCTGTGGGGGAAAGAGAACACCCTGAGTGAGTGCATATTCAGTCCTGAAAATCCCTCTTGACATTCTTAACCATTTGTTCTAATATCTGTTTTGTTCCTCTTTATCTTCTGTACATAGCAAAAAGAGACTATGCATATTATCTGAATACACTAGTATTTCCACTTACAAAGAATGCAACAATATATAGTTTTAATCATATGTACATTCTAACAGAAAGAGACAGAATCCCAAAGAAAATTCCAGAAAATCACATCATATGAATTTATAAAAATTGATAACCATCTGATAAGCATTCTTTGTAAGTGGGCAAACCTGCAAAATCAGCAAGGGGTCAAATACTTATTTCCCTCACTGTATATTCAGTAAAATGCCCTAGGGGTGACTTTTATGGTGTGGTGTGCTATTGTTGGAACCATAAAAAATTATCTATTTACAGTCCAGTAAAAAATTTAAAAATACCTTTATCAAAACATCATTTAGTTTTTCACTGAAAATTTTTCGTTGGGATGAAACCATCAACAGGTGCTTTACTGGTTTACCTTTTTCTTTGCTGCTCTTCCTCTGCTCTTTGCAAACTTGCTGTTGTTGTCCATGGAGGCAGCTCTGCGCCGCGGGGACTTTCCACTCTTCCCGCCCTCTGGGTTCAGCATCCACCAAGAGCTCTTCCCCGTCCCCTCATTCTGGACGCGCACAAAGCGGCTGTGGAGGGACAAGTTGTGTCTAATGGAGTTCTGAAAGGGGAGGGAGAAGGAGAAAAAAAGAGAAGATAAGGATTTGTGTTTGCCCTTTTTACAAAAACACCTCAGATATGGCTTTATCATACAAGAGCAAATCCATCTGTACAGGTGGCTGATATTTGAAAACACAACTGCCTTGACACTTGACTTATGAGGAGAAAGAAGAGGTTTTTGAGGTTACTCAATGGCCTCATGCTACTGCTGTGCAAAAAAACATGTGCACCAGCACACAAACAATAGATGTCAGCGAGTGTACTCCATGACCAACACATCCTGAACAAATACACTGTAAATGAAGGCCTTCCCTCAGAAAACAGAAGGGCCTTTTGTGAAACCCCATTATACCAACAGGCACATTCCACCTGACTGTGTGTCTTGTCAAAGCCAGCACAAAATCAAAGGGAGGAAACAGACTAATCTTTCCTCCTTACAGACGCGTTAATGCTCTGCTCTGACGTTGCTTAGTGACACCGCCAGTGGAAAAACTAATTTTTGAGCAGGAAGCAAGTGAAGCGTTATAAAAACAGGGCAAACAAAAGAGTGTGAATATTGGGCAAATGTCTGCTGAGCAAACCACAGAAAATTAGACGCGGCTTCTTTCCCGCTGCTACTTTACTCTGACGCTTGAGTTGCTCAACATTTCAAACTTCATTAGCTTCCCAGCCATTTCTGAAATGCAAACTATACCCATGAAAGTGTTGTTGAAGTGACTGTTTGTTCATAGAGAAACATTTAAATACACTCTGAGTCGGCATCGCTTAGTGTCCAGGTCTCAACATGAAGACTTGGGTCCTGTCCAGACATTACTGTGCCTGCGTAAAGCTGTTGTTTTGGAGGAAAAGCTAGAGCTCCCCGGCGTGCACATTTACTCGCACGCAGAGCTTAACATGCATTGTGGCTAACGTCATCAAGCCCATTGCCTACTGTGAGTCACTGCTTCACATCTGGTTCACAGTCTGCACCCTTTGTGGAGCCTTCACCTCCGATTCTCTTCAACTTAACACTGTCTTCCACTTCTGGACAAACAAAATGCAGTCCTCCTGCATTTTTCCCCAAAAATAAAACCACCCCAAAAAAACAGAGCAAACAAACTCCAAAACACCAGAATTATGTGAGGCTCTGAATTTTTTTCCATGTCCATGCAGGCTGATTAACCTTTCAAAACAAGAAGAGGTCCGTTAATTTTACTTAAGGATTAAGCGGTGTTGCATTTAACTGAAGATGGAACACTTGCAAGAGATATTTTGAAAAAGAGACAAGCAGAAGTCAGAGAAGAGCAGAAGGCCTCCTTATTTTGCATTGGAGAGCTACCAAGTAAAACTCCAACCACTTCCTAAATCATTAGATAGCAACAGTGTTCAACCAATGTAACTTTAACCATCACCAATCATTTAACCATAACATTATATAAACCACATCCACAGCCTGAATAAGGTGATTTCTAGGAGTGAAATTGTTGAGAGAGTTCTTAGAATAAACAGGAATTATGCTCTATAGCCAGTTATAACATCATCTCTCAATTTCCTTTCTAATTTCTCTATCCCCTCCTCTACGCCATACTTTTCCTTCCTCTCTGGATGACCTCAGTCACAAAGGCACATGAGAGGCCGTATGAACACTGGTGATTTACAAATGAATGCAATTACCCCTGAATCAAATGACCTTACTGCCTCAGCCAATAGTCTGGGGCTCCTTTGCATAATCTGAGGTACGTGACAGTCCTTCTCTGATTAGCCTAGCAAATGCTGCCCCCCCCCCCCCCTCCTCCCTCCTCCTCCTTCTCCTCTCACTGCACATCAGCAGCTATGACAAAGGAGAGGAGTAAAGTCTAGTCATGAGCCTCTCTTTCCCATGACTCCTGAGAGTGCTGCTGTTTTCAGCTGTGCTGCAATAAGGAATGACTGCAATGTGTCCTGTCACAGCCCCGCGTCCAGCCCCGGGAAAACATCCCGCCTTATTCCTCATCTGCGGAGGCTTCTGGTTGTGCTACGTCCAGAAGATCTACAAACATTTTCGAAGCACTGACACAAACGAGGGAGAAGATGTGAGGGGTCATAAAAACCGCTCCGGTGGGAAATGCCAGAACTCGGCAGAACTCGGTGTGCCGTGTGGGGAGTGTGGCTGAGAGTGTCTGGTGCGGCCAATGGAAAAGCCTCATCTCCAGCTGTGTGTGTGGGAGAGAGTGCCAGCTAATGTTTTTTAGTGGAATGGCACGGCGACAAACATCAGCACAGTGCGGTTTGGATTCTGGAGCACGCTCCGTAGCAGCCAGTGAAGCCGCGGTTAGAAACTGCACGCAAGTCGGGACAGACACATGAAACCCACTCAGCTACAAACATTCATGTATGAATGAAAACCACCTCGGGCCATCAATCTGAAACACCGCTTTCAGCAAACGCACAAACGGTACACGTTTGATTTTTTACTAATTAAATCCTAATACTTTTGGAATCTGTATTATGGAGTGAGATGGATTTTCCTCTGGCTGGAGTACACAGGAATCTAAACATTCCAGCTAATCGCAGTGTGCAAAGTTCAATTGTAATCACAGCCAACTTCTTAGTATCTTTGAGGAAACAGTAAATGCAGGATTCCCAGCCAGGGAGTCATCACAATCAACATTCCTCAGCAAGGTTACAAAACCCACAACTTCACAGAAGTGAACTTTGATTGCCGTTGCTAAAGGACGCTCGTATCTTGTTTTGTACAGAGATAAGCAAATAACAGGGACATTTTTCTGTCCTACCACAAAATAAATGCATGGAAATGAAGAAGATAGATAATGGAAAAAAGCTTTTAAAGACAGTAGCTTCTAGGGGAAATTACATCAACAATCTTTAAGCTGACATAACCGTCTCTGCAGGCCTTTCTGTGCTGTTCCTGACCCCACCGTGAGGAGCATCATCTCCGTTCTCTCCTCCGAGCCGACACAACAGAGCCGCGCTGGCAAAAAAGCAAGGAAGTGACCACATGAAAGAGGACTGTGACAGGAAACAGAACTGACTTCCTGTCTCACAGGAAACATGGCGGTCGGTGAGCAGAGAAAAAGGCTTGGAATGCAAAGCCGCAGAGTCGTGAGCCAAGTGGACACCACAATTTCGCCCCCACCGGCCCGGGACGGTTGTGTTCAACAACAGGCACCGAGGCCTGTTGTCACAGCACAGTCATTAAATGAAAGTAGCGTCCATTTGATCGCGTGACTGCTGGAATTGAATCATAAAACTGGATACGTAGTGACTCATCGAGTGGCTGTCGTATGGGCATCTGGGTGGTGTGTGTGTGTGTGTGGGAGAGAAGGAGAGTGTGTTTTGGGTATAGGCTGTGTGAGAAGCGGAGACAGAGGGCTTGTGTGTGACGGAGTGGGCCTGAATCGGTAGAGAACACACTGTGCTGATTTTAAACTGGCTCACTGGCAGCACGGCTGAAAGGCCACACTGTTCGCTAAATCTTTCTTTCTTTACTTCCTGTTTCTTCTTCTTTTTGTGCCATCCTTCTCCTCCATCTTCTTTCATGACATTGTTTCACTCATCTCCTCTCTCTTCGACTACACTTTGATTCTTCCTGTTTCCTTATTTCCTAACTTGTCCTCGCCATCTTGCGTTTCATTCCCTACTTATTTCCTTCCCTGTTCACGTCAAACTTTTTTTCTTTTTTTTGTCGATTGCGACCGTGTAATTGGGGGAAAACCTATGGCTGGAACACAGACAGCAGACGCTGATGTTTTCAGAGATGCTCAAATGTCAACTCGTCTAATGAAAAAGTCCCTACAGGAGAGCGCCACCACCTACATCAAGTGCTGCTTTGAATCAATTGAAGCCACAAGTGAAACCTTGTCTGCAAAAGCCATACAGTCACGGCTATAAAGTGCAGCGAGGCTCCCTTCTCACAGACGGAAAGCGTGTTGCAGGCCCGATCTCCCATAGCAGCAGAGACAGCTTCACACACATTTACCAGAGATTTCAACAGATGAAAGTGAAAATGTGGTTTCCCTGTACCGTTTCCACTGTAGTCAGAGAGAAACGGTGCTGTCCTCAACAGACATTTTCCTCTTTTATTGCAAAAATATCTCTAGATTTAACCGTGGACGTGTTTTTGGCATGGCAACCCCCTATTTTCTGCGTAACGTCTGCAATTGTGATCGCAAAAACCAATTGGGCATGAGAGGCATTTGTAAACAGTGAGGTAAGTAGTCCTAAAGCCGGAGCTGGGTCACGTCTGGAAGGTTTGTGCTGAGTCTGGCCGAGTTACAGCTGTGTGGTGAAGACAGAAAATATGCATACTTGTTATTAGCCTAACACCAGCTCAGCACGTCTGCCCACTTAACAACAGCCTGTGGACGGGCACGCCGAGCCCGGCTCACTCCAGGTGAGACGAAAAAGCAGCGAGAGACAGTGAAGGACTGGAAGAGAGGAGTCCTCAAAGACTGGACCCGAAAAAAACCCTCACCAGTTAATGTTGTTAACGTCGTGGCCGACAAAGGTCAAATAGTTTGCGGTGGATACATTTTTCTGCTGCAAAGAGGATCAAAAGCTTTCGAGCACCCAAAGCTGACATGTGATCAGATTTGCTATATTTGCTCGGTTCACAAACCAGACAAGCAGAGTTACGGATCATTACTGGTTCAAGAGAAAATCAAACAGGTTTTAAGAATTTGCGGCTACATTTTTTTACTGGGTTTGATTAGTTGAGAGGCCCTCAGTCATTCGTGTTTACATCCAAAGGCCATTCTGATGAAACCTAAAAAGAACTTGAGAAGCCACATTCAAAGTGGTCTCTGATCGTCAGCGATCAGAAACAGGTAGAGCTGAAATGTGGACAGATAACACATGAGTGCATGTCCTGGAAAGGGAAAAACTGGTGTTGACACAAGAGGGAAAAAAGCCCTGGTCAAGTGTGCTTACTCTGCAAAGCTGGGAGAAACACAGCGTAATACCTGCTGCAAAATACGCATCCTCCAGTCTGAGCCAGTGAAGATGAAACGGGCATTTTGATAG